ACATGATATGATGGTTTCCTCGTATTGTTTAACCTTCGGGGAAAAGGTACCGTTTCCTCCTTACCCCCATTCTGCCCTTTCGTCCTTTCGCGAGTGAACGGCAGCGGCAGACTTCCCGCCAAATTAGTCCCCGGCACAGGAGAGACAAGAGTTAAACCAGAACCAGGTGTGCGTCTGTCAGGGCCGCGGGCTTCGCGAGTTTGCCTTGGTGTCAGGCCAGGATCAAGTCTGGGTCCGCCTCGGGTGCATCGTTAGGACAGACGGCCGCTTCCATCGCTCCCGGCCTGCGCCTGTCAGGAGTCGTTTGCCGTGAGTCGCCGTCTCCAGATCCTGAAATCCCCAAGGAACTCAAACAAAAACTACCTTCTCCTTCATTTACTTCTTTAATACCGGTTTCCTTTTCCTACAACATTTGTTAATACACAAGGCACACCAAACCTATTTTATCTGCCGAATTCTCTTTCGTCTTCTCCTATTTGCGGAGTCTGAGAGGACGAAAGAGACACGGCAGCTAAACTAGGTTTGGTAACCAGGCTAAGCATGCAATGGAAATAGGTTGCAGGATCGAGGATCATCGGGACTCCGCATATTTTTACTAGCAACGCTGTAATTGGTGACCGTATACTATATTTGTATTGATCGCTGTTCCCACTAAGTGTCACAAACACAGAATCTTTCTGTCTTCCAATATAGATAACTTCTTGTAGCCTTTACCAGTGATCAGCATTCGAAGCGGCTGGAAAGAGTCGACATTGGCCAAAAAGGCATTGCATGTTATCTGTCTATCAGTCTGCTCTTTTCAGCCGCCTCTGAAGACTGGTAGGGGCTAAATTTCTTGTTGGTGTGATGTAAGGTCATTCTTTTCGATTTCCCTCACTATTTGAGGCATTTAGAACCTTACACTTGTAGCCTTAAAGAACTGTCAACGGACTCTGCTCTTCGCCTTGCTCTTGAGCGGAGCTGACAAACACCCTTCACCTTTGCAGACCTCTTCATGACCTTTGTCCTTCAACTTGGTACATTAAGATGTCAGGGATCGGAACTGACGGGGTGACTCCGCGGGAGTGGACCGCCTTTACGAGGGTCCGGGAAAGTCGCGGGAACTGAGAGCCGGCAGATTTATAGTGGTACTGCAGTACTAGCCTCTCCTTCGCAGACTTCTGATGCGGCGGCGTTAATTTTTTTCGGGGAACGACGATTTTGCCGCCGAGGGACTTTGCCGGGGATAGACGGTTTCCTCGCTTCAAGAAACCGTCTGTCCCCGGCAAAGTCTCTTGGCAGCAAAATCGTCGCTCCCCGAAAAAAATTAACACCGCCGCATCAGAAGTCTGCGAAGAAGGTTATACGGCGCGTATACGTACGTACGGTCCAGCCTCCAGTTTCCATACAGTAGGAGTGATGCTTCACGTTCGGGATGGTATCACATAACGTTATATATGCTACATGTTGAAAACTTGTAAATTTGATTTGACATATAACAACCAAATCTCAAGTAGAGAGAGGGGGCACTTTATCACTCATTGTTACCATCAAGATAGCAATCGCCAATCTCCCTATATCATGTACGTTGACAGCCACATCTATGCTGGAGGTTCACGTCCTAGGACCAATCTCAATCCCTTCTTCCGCCCACTCGAGCTCTGCAGGAGCAAAGACGACGGCTTATCACAGTGTCGACACCAGTTTTCAGTGTTAACTCCGCAAAGTCTTGAATACACAAACTCACGTCAACTGACGCTCATTCCAACCGGCCGGCCTCGACACTAATTATTTTGCCTCCATGACAGTGAGAACCAAAACGCCATGTCATGATTTCTAGCCTGACATACCGCTGATACTGCAAAAATGTGACAGCAGATGTAATGGTCATTCTTACTCCATCTCCAAAACTGGGTACGTACGTTCATGATATATAGGGATTTCATTATACACAACTGGAATACTGCTACTCGCCGGTAAATGTAGCTAACGAAACGTCAGCAGGGTGAGAGAAGTACAAGAAAGTATATGAAAAAGAAAATCACTATATCCTATGTTCTACCAAACTGATGACATTATTTTCGCCACGAAAGTCGGTTTGTTGTTTGAGAGTCCTTCTCTCGGCTCGTGTGTGACAGATGACGCGACAAGTGTCCCTGACAGAGAGGGTTTGTTTATTGGTGTAACCTGTCTAGCGAACGCCTCTTCTGACCTCATCCCACGCTGATTTTACCAAATAAACACTGATCAAAACAGGTTCGAACCGCCCTCGTCAGGTCCGATTAGACTCGAGCCACTCAGCAAAAATTCTTTTCCAATTCGAGTAAAATTAGTAACGTGGGATCACACAAGGTGTCTGTGACATTCCTCAGAAGATCTCCTGCGTAACAGCGAGCCAAGTTCCCTTGAGATCTCGCGTTATCGGGCTAGTCGCTGATACAGATTTATTTTCTACATTCAACGTAATTGGAAGGTAATGTCAAGTCGGATTGACGGGAAAACCGCAAGAGCGCGCCCAACGCGGCGAGATTGGCAAACATAACCCGATAAATAAAAATAGAAATTCTTTTCCTATGGCATCCTCATGAGTCAGCTTAACGTGGCCAACTCAGGAGGATCTACGGCGAGATACTGGCCCACACCTCGGAGCAAAGTAGCCATCAGCGCTGAGTGGTTCTGACACAAGGCATGGCGAGACTGAGGAGCGATAAATCACGGGGGAAACGTGTACTATGTTGGGTACAACAACAGGGCACTTGAGCTTGATGATTGCTAGGATCTGGTATGGGAGACAGTTGGATATGGAAAAAGTGTCCGTTGAAACCGCTAACTGGACAAAAATTGCAGCACCAACGTCTACGCCTCTCCGAACATAACATGTTGCAAATCCTGAGATGAGAACTCCTGAGATGAGAACTCCTGAGATAAGATGGAAATCTTCGATGGAAGTCTTAGATGGGAATCCTGGAAGTCTTTCCTATTTTGCATATTTTCACACGCAAGCAAACAAGAAGAAACATTCCAGAAGTGGCCCTGATATATCTGCGGTAAAGTCGAGAGCTAGTCGCGAACTTCTATCCGCTGTATTTCAGACTTGTTGTAACCCTCGGAAAATGTGTCTTTTCAGTAGCGCCTTGACTCAGGGCAACATTCAGCACCCGTACGAAAGATTGATGCCTTTCGTGTCGCGGACCCTGGAGGTGTGACATGCACTATCGTGATTTAACATTTAACCGTTTCAACCCTCAACCTCACAGTAGGTCGGCGCCAAGCCTACCTTGCCCTTAGTGTCCATGTAAACAGTAAAATAACCACCCAGCGATCTTATCACCAACTATCTTTGAAAACTCTGGGGAAAAGCCAAGGCTGGTTTCTCTTACGTAGTTTTTATTTTGTTCCTTCGCAAAATGAACTCCTCCTGCAAGGTCAGGTCTCGAGGTCACGAAGGTCGCAGGACGGTTGACGCAAGTTTCGGCAGTAACGACTTGGACCGCGCCCAAAGGACCTTAAACCTCGGTGAGAAGGATAACAACGCTTACACGCAGAAGAAAGACGTGGCCAGAAGGTTCTGTACATTTGTTTTAACGCTATGAAGGGTTAAGAATAAAATGACACGTCAGAATCATTGCGTATCTTTTACCTCCGTTAAAATCAATCATACTGTTGTAGTTCATAGTCACATTTAGCGTTACAGTCTTGATTCGTTGAGAATATCTAAATACAGAGGCCCTAAAGGTAGAGGGAACCGGAAATGCAACATAGAGTATCAAACACTAGCCTCACTACATATCAAAACATATGGTTGTAAAGCGTAAGGTATGCATACTGGCGACAGGATATTAGAATATCCACGGGAATAAACACTGCAGGATTTTATAACGTCCTCCAGTCTAAGGAGAAAATACCGGCGGTGATAATCATCCTCAAGCCTTGACAAAGTTGACCAGACTTTTACTGTGACAGTACAGGAAGTTAATTGGAAGTTTTCTCAGCCCTTAAATTTCGCCGGCGCCATATAATTCAATGTCAAGGTGCTCTCTGGAACGGATTGACTTTTATCCGACACCGACTATGCCGTATGCACAGCTATATACGTACACACGCTATAGACTAAACAAACCTAATAAAATGTGTGTTTGAATTTGTGCTTACGCTGTCCAATAAAGTGGACCAGACTGCTAATGAACTCCAGTTCTGTTGCCTTGCCATTTCGGTGAACGGAATCGCGACCGTTAAATCAAAGCCACGGGGCCAGGCCGCGCTTATCGGGAAGGGTTCACCTGTTCAATCAGAACCACTTGGGAGGAAACTCCGAAGGATCGTTTCTGACCCGACGACATTTTAAAAATAGAGATAAAGTCACGAAAAGGGTATACACACTTCCCTGTGAGTTTTTTTTAAATATTTGACAGTCGACAGCAGAGCGCTTCTCTCTGAGAAAGAAAGAGCATTATGACGGATTGATATTTGCAATCGATTACTGAGATCTTGGGGGTAATTTTATAATCATCAAGGGATTCCAAATATTGAAATACTACTGTACAGTGGGAAGGATTCAAAGTATATCAGAACTTATTTTTACTTTATTTCTGTACGTTATTACGTTACTTCTTAAGTTATTGTAATGGACACGTGCACGTGTCTGAAGTTAGTACGTGACGTGTGATAACGAATTCGAAGTGAGGAGGACGATATTCACGTACTTTGGTACTCATTCTTCTTCTTTCGTTGTAAGTCGCAGACATAACTGCTGTATTGCTCGCCTCCCCGTAACACTTTTAATCACGAGCAGACCGTTCTTACCCTTGATTGATCCTTGGCGTGCTGACCTAAAATCTAACGGCATTCCAAACGACACACTTCCCCACGTTCAATTCACACCGTCTGCACTGATTATAGGGCAAAAATGGTAGTGCAGTTTCTATCATTATCGTTAGGTGGCACTGCATAAATAACATCACCTACACCTGTTGCAGTTTAACACAGGATTTCTTCATTCAGATCCACAAACATCAAAGTAATACATTCATAATTCTTTAATCATTCTATTAAGAAACTAATCAACAAAGACCAACCCTTAGAACCAAAAGTGAAATATCATTCACCAACATATAGATAGACTATTGGATCACATAAACATGTACAATTTTATATACAATACACAATGTTTCTATTATCTCTGTAATCTATTCAGCAGTAGAGTTTGAATCTTCTGAGTAATGTTCCAAAATAGGTTAAAAGACTGTATAATAATAGCAGATTGATCAGTTATATTAAACACCATTTGACTATATATACATATTAGAGTGGGTCTTTAAAAAAAAATCACTTTTCGTTGAAACCACTTAGTCCTCATATGCAACAAAAGAGTTCCATGAAGGAGCGTTCTCAAAGCCGTTCCTGCCGTGACGGTAGTCATCAATGGCCTGACGGATCTCCTCCTGGGAGTTCATCACAAAAGGACCTGACAAACAGTATACAGGAATGTTCACAAGTTAGCTGGGTTGAATCCAAGATACATTGAGAAAAAAATACTGAACTGCCAATCAGACAGTGTGCTTCATCATAGCCAATACCTGGCTTTAGCAGTAGCTGTAAAGAGTAGAAATTAATGAAATAGACAGATAACATGCCAGGGGAGTACAGTTTACAAAGCAGCACACTGTACTCCTTTAGCGGACCAAGGACATTACAATGTATATAATGTCCTTTAGTGGATTAGATGGAGAGAAATATAATATGACCTACCATACTGGTATACCGGTTCATTGATGGGCTCTCCTGCAATCAGCACACAGTGAACCTTTTCTGGGCCCTAAACAAGAACAAAAGACGTTTGAGAGAGTGACTTACTGGTACATGTACATTAAAAACATCTATACTAAACATCAAAGCCACCCGGGGGATTGTGGTAAAGTGGTGACTTCTTGGGCAGGGAAATGGTGGTTGTTATGGCCAGGTGATTGAAGGTGAAGAAGCAGATGCTTGGACATGTTTTAACTGTAACACAAAACAAATGTTCCTAATACTAATATTCCAGATGATACCTTGTTCTCCAGGGTGAGTCCCTCTCCATCACTCATGACCATGGTGTGATGTGGTTTCCCCAAAGTTTGTTTGTCCTCTGGACCTGTGTATGGGGAAGGGTTTGAATGATATAAGTAGCCATCAATGGAAACTGATAGTAACTTCCTGAACACTTTGCAGGTAATTTTTTTTTTCAAAAACTATACATTAGTTAGCTCTGTGGATGCAAAATAGAATTGATTTGTAGTACTAGTACTTTGTACCATTCAGTTTAGAAGTGTCATACAGATTAGGCTAAATGACACATAGTATGGTTGTACAAATTTAACATACTGGTAAGATTACTTTTCACAAAATGGGCTAAAGTAATTCTACATACAGATTCTTCTATCATATCAGGACTGTGAGGGAAAATTTGAATGATAGTCAGAAGAACTAACATATCATATTTTCTCTTTACTTACCAAGATGAACATATCCTGACAGCACATACACAAAGCCATTCCATCCTAGGCAATAAAACACATCAGAAATTGAAAAATGTACATGTGCATGTTTGGTTAGGTAATGCAAGGAGATTGGAGTGACTATAACATCCTTGGGTAATGGTGGAGAAAAAGTGTGTTGGATAAAATGCAAATGGTTGCACCTACCTTCAGGCACAGCTTGTGTGTATTTTGCTCCTGGCTCCAACTTAAAGTCCAGGTACATGGTAGGGGTTCTTGTGTACACCTGGGACTGGGGTAAACAACAAAACACAACTTCAAAATCATCTTTTCCAGAAACTCTAATACTAATAGCATAATAAGTTGCTTATTAATGATTCTTCTTGACTGTTGTTACAAGTAATTAATTGTTACACTGACATTTTCTCCTTAAGTAATATGTTGACATATGGACACCTCCTTACCTTCACGCCCAGGGACTCCCCTGCTATCACGGCCACAGTGACGCCGTCCTTGCTGGGTTTGGGGACGTCCTTGCTCAGAAGTTCCTGGTACGCCGGCTCGATCATCTTGTCAGCTTTCTTCAGGTTTATCCAGAGCTGCAGACCGTGGCTCTCCGTGTCATCCCCCGGCATCTCACAATGGACGATCCCTCTTCCTGCTGTCATCCACTGATGGGGACAAATCATTTTATATTCATCTTAATTTGTGAGGTTTACTTAAATCTTGTCTTTGTTTAGTCCATTTCAGTTAAATCTATCCACTTCTAAAGCCTACATGTACAGGTATGGACACTTTTAAAGTAGTCTAGTAAGGTGGCCAGGTAACAGCCCATAATGTACTATTATAAGCCCATAATGTACTGTTATAAGAAAGATGACCTATTACTCCCTCCTACCTGCAGGTCACCCGGCCCGATCCTGCCCTGATGTCCCATGAAGTCCTCGTGTCTGGTCGTCCCACTCAACATGTAGGTGGCCTGGAGTCAGACAACAACTCTGCTCAGTGGACATGATCGACTTCTCATTCAAGTTTGGAAGCCTGAGATACAGTTTACCGGTCAACACTTTATTCTCTTCTATGGGGTGGATCCCACTGATGCCACTCGAAACTTGAAGGGCCACATCAATACCCTTTGGATCGGGGGATTAAAGCCAGTGGCCCTGCATATGAGGGAGCTTATGGCATCAAATTTCTGCATGTATAAAGAACCCAACACAAGTGGCACCTGAGCTGTGCCTGGGTTAGATACGGAAGCCATGGTGAAAATTAAGCCACTTTACACTAGTTGAGGATGACAAAAGAACAAGGGTGTTTTGTATAGATCGGCAATGAAAGTGACCTACGGTTTCAAAGCCCCGATGTGGATGGTCAGGAAATCCCGCAGGTTTGCTGACTTTGAACTCATCCAGCATCAGGAAGGGGTCCAGGCTCTTCAGCTGCAAGAGACAGATTGTTCACCATGTGATATAATTATGTTACATGTACTAACGATATCATCTCACACCTGTAATTACATACAGAACAAAGGGAGAACAAAAATTCTTAGGGGATAACTGCAAATTAGTTCCCTTAAACTGTAAGCATACTGCTGCTAAATGAGGAAACATATTCATGATAAAATTCAAGTAATTCAATGACCATTTCATCAGTGTTGGACATACTCAACTGCATTGTAGCACCTATATTGCCTGTTATGTATTGAATTTTTTTCAAAAAAAAAAAATTGGAGGGTCATAGATAATGTTAAAGTTGACTTACTTCAGGCCTGCCTACACTGCGCCTGACCCTGGCCCCCACCCCCTCATCCTGTTCCACGCTCTCGAAACCCCTGACAATCGTACGTGACATCGCTGTTACACCAGCAGTTCTCGAATCCTTGGAGCTGTTATTCACAGCAAACGAGTCTGTTCCGATAGGCTTGACAGGCTGGAAGGCCCCGCTGTCCTGGTGCTGGTCGTCCTGACAACTGACTGCTGTCTGGAGCAGGAAACTCAGGGTGCAGAATAAGAGGATATGCTCAGTCTTCATGCAGTTGCCTGTTTGAAGACCATGATGTTACTTGTGTACTTGTTAAGGGGTTTTGCTGCAAGTTGAAGGTTATAATACACAGTGCAACTGCTGAAAATATCTTATATTTGCCAAACTGTATATATGTTAACTTGCTTTTTAACTTGAAGTTCCTTCTGCCCTTGCTCATGATCAATGGAAATTTGGAAGAAGAGCCAAACATTCAGCCAATTAATGACTTGAATATAACTTGTCAGGTAAGTTGCAAAAAGTAACAGCATTTACTATTTTGCAAAAGAGCAGAGTATAGGCCACAGTGAACATAACTTACGACTTACCTGCATGAATCCTTCTCAAGATCTGGTATAAGCTAAACTCTCACCTCTCTTATATTTATATGCTGTCACAAAGCGTTACTTTTAGCCAGAATGTTTGTTCATCCTGATCCAGCAACAATCGGTGAGTCAGCAAGGTTGACTTGCGAAGTTAGACCCCGCCCCCTTTTTCTAGCATGTCTGTCAGATCAAGCAGGCCTTTATAAACCCCCTTGGTCAGCTCTATGACTGTGCCATACTTACATAGAGTGTACATGTAAGAATGAGTCAGCAGTCCCGACACATCCAGTGTCCCAGCTGATTGCTGCTCTGAGGACCCACTTCCGCATTGCGAGTTTTAGCTGAGTCATGGTTGTATGGCTGTGCTTCATTTTACAACCGCAAGAGGGCTCTCGTGAACAGTGATTTGTCCATGAGTTAGCACAAAGTTTATTTACACCGCGTTAGAACTGCACCGAGAGATGGAGCATACAATAAACAATGTCTAACGAAATATAAGACGTTAACCAATGACAACATCAACCTTATAATTATTCCTTTATCTGTAGAGAACACGCGAGAACTGGCTGATCATACAATCCCATAATTTGTAGCAAGGATGCAAAATCTCCAAACAGATCTTTACAGCCTTTACAGGCTAGATAGTATTCAATACGCCACCCACACTTGCCGGATGTGTGATAATCCAGCACAGTAAAAGAATTAACCCTTAATGAGTATTTGATGGTTCCCGGGGAGGAGCACTGGCGCCTGTCTTGAATAGATTTTAATGGGTTTGCCCCCGCCCCGGGGTGAGTGTCGACAGGGGTTTGGTTGTTGTAAAAAAAAAGATATCAGTACAATCAAGGACGTTATCCTTGGTACAATAAAGCTCGATAAAAATGCCTAAAAGCACGCCAATGATTATCTGCTTCAGAGTAGGAAGGATGGTCAGTTCAGTAACATGGTAGATGTGCAATAGCTACCTCACAATCGTTATATGACCACGGTGCGTCTGCTTGTATATCATACCAAGGACATCTGTATAATGTCCTTGATCATACACAGTATTGTTCATAGTGTAGTTACTATTGCGACTTAAGCGTTTATAGCTCTTACATTCGACACGTCGACGGGTCTTGATGTAGACTTTTCCTCTGATGCATGCCCATTCTGAACCGACAGGTGACGCTTTACATATACTGTCGCTGTCCAACCTATCAAATGCCTTTATTTCATAGTTGCACAATCCTATTAACCGCGTTATGTGGCTAGCGTGTAGTCAGCTTAATCAAAGTATTAGCTCTCGTAACGCGTGAACGAGAAAAACAGAGTTTCAGTTACATTCCCTGTCAACGGAACTCAATGGAAAATATTCAGCTGTTGGTCGATTTTCTAAGGAAATTTGTTTTTTCAGCTCAGGCCAAGTGACTTCCTAGAATTAATCATGAAACTTCATGGAGACTGCTTTTAAGAAACTGACTCAACTATTTCAGTGTAGTATGATTATTATCTTATTTTTTCTTTCGTTGAGACAGTAACTTTTATTTGTCATTGTTATTTTGCATTTTTACAATTTGACATTTAATCAAAATGGATAGGCTTGATAATCTACCTATATTTTCATTTTACCGAAAGGACTCTTGTCTTAATGTTATAGACTATAAATATTAATTTTCCCACTTTACCCGCCACATAACATCACGTTTAGAGTTATGTTAACATGTTCGCCGAAGGTCCAGGCTAAGAAATGTTACCGAAAGCATGCAAATGGTAATTAAATCGAACGTCGCTCGTGAATTAGCAACAATTTTCCATCAATCACACAGTAAGGAAGACTATTCCTATGCATGTCGTGACTTCCTGATTTCTGGGATATTGTCTGGCGGCGATGACGCTTGTTTGCGAATCTCAGCCAGTTAATCTTGTCGAACGTGTTGGTTACGCGCCAAAATTTCTCAGATAATAGCACTGCATTTCCTTCCGCAGATTCGATTGCTCTGGTTCCCGATTCACGTTGTACAAAAAAGTTCGATCCGTGACGAAACTGTAAAGCTGGACATGGAAGTCAAGATCAGCTGACAACAAAATGGACAAATGTCGGCCATAAATTCACAGGCGACACGTTGGAGTAGTAACGCTAGTGTACTACTATTAAAGCCAAAACGGAATCATGGTACACTGGCTTCCTTAACTACCCACATGACCCTCGAACAGCTGTTAATGTCACTTTAAAGATTTGTTTTCAGTTTTTAGTCACTTTTTTTCTGTACACACGGGACAGGCGACTGTTCATATAGTGCAATTTTTTTGCATTAGTTAATTGATTCTTACGAAAAAAAAAACAATGTGCTCCATTGTGGTATAGATAGGGGATGTGATAAAAAGCATATCTAACTCAGTAACGTTTGTGTAAATCTGTATTCCAGAGGAAAAAAGTGAATAGGATGAGAATAGAATATGGAAAAGAAAAAATTAATGAATAATATCATTATTTTGCATAACCCATATCTATACATTTTTTCACTATATATTACATTTTCATCGCTGCCTTATCTTCCACTGCATTCTGTAAATAGCTGGTTATCAATTTTATACTATCAATAGTTTTCCTGAGCTGACCAGCCATCGTGAATGAAATATAAAACTCAGGTCTTTGTCGATCGGATGATTCGAATCGTCTCTGTCCCTCAATGTGATGCTGAGGTTACTCCAGGAGTTTATCTGCGAACCCGGACGGGACATACTTCCGCCTTTCCCTCCGGACTGGCCTCCGCGAAACGGAGAGAGTTTTGCTGCTTTTCTTCATGTTTCCTCCCAGATAAGGGCCAACATGAGCGAGGGACAGATCATCTGCCGAGGGTGGCTGCGAAAATCACCGCCTGAGCACAAGATCGGCCGTGCGGTGAGTTGTTGGCGGGGACTTTTCTTCCTGCCCCGTTCGCGAATGTCCTCCGTCCTTCTTGGCAATGTTTATGCATGCAGGGGTTCTGGGTTCTTCCCAGTTCCTTCCCCCTTCTCCTGTCTTTAATCCCAAGCCAACACCTCTGACGGACTTTCTACAGCTTCTTACGGCTTTATAAACTCTCTCTTCTCACCAAGGTAATCGCTTTCTCGCCTCAACTTGTCTGTAGCTTCCTCTTTTTTGTCGACACTTTTTTCGTTCTTTTGAAATATGCATGAATGACTGTGACGATCCCGCCCCTCCCCATTCGCTGGTCAATTTACAACTCTAAAACCCATCATTTTGTCTGAAGACACTCCATTTCAGGACGATGAAGAAGACTTTCAAGTATTTTTAACTCTCCCTTTGTTCTTTAGAGTGTACATATATCGTCGCACAGTGTTGTTATTGTTGTTGTTACTGGTGACACATGCCAGTTTTATCGGGTAGGTTCTATTTGTTTATTTCGCGATAACATTGACCAAAAAGCAGGAAGTTTATTTTCAGCGCTGTTCGATAACTCGCCCGTTGAAAGCTTGGCTCATTTTCAGATCCTAATCGTTTCTAGATTTTCTGTTCATTTGAAGTCCTTTGATGTTTTGGAGCGTCATACCAGCACGTTATTATTATTATTTTTTGCCATACATAATGTGGCTTTGGCTTTGTACGTGTAACGCTACACTTACGTAATCTTGTGTATTGAATGGAAGCGACTTTCAGCTTTCGGCGTTTGATGTTCAGTTCAAAGCTTCTTCGTTTGAATTTAGGACAATGCTGTTATTGTTGGGACAGTTGTGATAGATCTACCTCCATATGGTTTCCATTTTATACACATGGTGCGCGCGAGCATTCCTTTGCATGGAATGCCCTGAATTCTTTTGTTTGCATTTCTGTCGATTATGTGGAACAAATTCCATCATGTTCCTTTCTCTTTTGTCCCATTGTTTTTCCTCCAGTTGTCTGATACATGACTTGAACAGCTTGCATACATTTGTATCTTGTGAAAAGTGTTTTGATTTGTACCTTCGACAGGGGAGCATCTGGATTTCAGATTTCACTAATAAAACTAAAGGCAACAATCAAATAAAATGTTAAAGTTTGGCAAACTTCTGTTTTTCTAGTTCACTTCTCATATGGTTTATGATTTATTTTAAAAAATTCTGTTCAGCAAAACCAATGTTTTTTTTATGAGTGCAAGGTTGTTCAATGCCTTTGTGTATGTTATAAACACCGTTGTGTTACTAGTGTACCTTTGTGTATGCTAAGGTAACCCAGACTTATGAGCCAATAGCACATCTTCTTCTTCTTATGATATGTTCACATTTGGACATAAGTTGCAGGTCTAGTGACAGTGTTAACCATTTTGTAGGTGGTAAATTATGTCAGAATAGAAATTGGCATACGGATAGTTTTTTTGTCATTTTCGGAGCTGCATTTTCGAACCCGAGGCTTACTTTTTATGGAGACAAGCATACCTGTTTATGTACATTGTAAAGCATAATTAGATGAGTCTGGGAAGTTTGTAATCAGATCGCTCTAATTCTAGGGAAAGCTTTATTGTTTTAAGTTTTTGTAATAGGTTAGGGTGGATGCCTCTGAATTCACTGGAATATGTGATGAGTGCCAGGAATTTAGCGTAATCCATAATGCACTTAGCCCCCATGCAGACCCCTTTTGATGGTACAGGTCATGGTACAGTCTTCACTTAGGTCTTGACTGACACGCTCAGATTTCAAGGAGGGTTGTTGACAGACAATACTTATCTTTGAACCTTGGACTTCACTACCGTAATTCTGGGTAACTGTCTCATTACTTGGAAGCTCAGACCTCATGACTGCCACAAGATTCTTCATCCTCAGCACTTTTGGTGGTGCAGGAACACGTCATGTTTTCTGGACGAACTTTTATTTCCTTATTGGTCATCGCTGAGGGAGGGTTGCATGCTTTTGTTCTCGTGACTTGCAGTTGATCATTCTGCATTTGTAAGTAGAACTTGGCACTGTGCATTTCAAGGAAGCAGCTTATTGTAATTCTAGGAACTTCTAAAGTTCACTGTTCACATATGCTTGTTCTTTTCTGAACAGTGAGCTTTTCCTGTTGTGTTTGTTCCTTCCAAGAAGGTCTCTCTTCAACCTCCTTGTTCTTTTATGTCCTGGATTGTTTTCTACATAATGATGCCCACTTTCACATATGAAAGGGCAAATTGCCCTTTTATATTTCATATTTGAAAGTCTGCTCCATTCATGCAAACAACGCTTTGTACATAAATCTACTTCTTTGCATCCATTTCCTTGTAACTGCTTCTACCCTGTAGTTTCAATTTGAAATGTATTCATAACCACATGCAGGTAATCAAGGAACAACCATGTAGTGATTGATGAAAGCAGTAGTTATGTATGAAAGTCTGTTGTAGGCTCTGTAAATACTGCTGCTGGTATATTGCACATAAGGGAATCTAACCCACATTGTGGAGGTATGACTGCTGTGAGAGGTATGGTCCTGGGATTGACAGAGAGCTGGTCCTGCACGTGTGCTATAAATCGTGTCATGTTGTCTTTGTTTGCCTTCCATAACAACAGTCGTGGAAGAAGCGTTGGTTCGTGCTGCGGGAGGGACGACTGACAGGGGACCCAAACCTGCTGGAATATTACAAACGGGACAATGCCAAGAAGCCCATCGCTGCCATTAACCTGGACCAGTGCGAACAGGTCGACGCGGGACTGACGTTCGAGAAGAAGGAGTTCGTGAACGCGTACATTTTCGACATTGTGACGCCGAAGCGGACGTACTTCCTGGTGACGGACTCGGAAGCAGAAATGAACCACTGGGTCGGCTGTATCTGCCAAGTCTGCGGTTTTAACTGCACCAACGATGAGAATGGTAGGTGTTTGTTTTGCTTTATTTTACTTTTTCATGCAAATTATATACAAGTTAAGAATTGTATAAAAGAAGAAAAACAATGTTCAGGAGGAGGGGGCAAGCCTGCAAGGATTATGCAAATCCCTCCTTCAGACTTAACAAATATTAATCATGAAACTAATATAAAGAATCTGATGATACAGGGTCATCTTGTGTACATATTAACCTTCAGCCTGCTCAGGTTTTTGGCACCATATTTCTTTAAAGGGGATAGGTAGCAGGAAGAAGGTTAAAGCTCGATGTTACAAAAACTTAAGACCTATATTTTGGTCTGCCTGTGAGTGAGGAGGATAGTTGACGAAATCCAGCTGTTAAAAGAATTTTTACGACAGTAGAATTAAAGTTGTATGTCAGGTTGGGTTCAAGAAGCAGGTAAATCGTAACTTGTACACGTCTGGCCTTAATATAAAGGTTTGTGCAGCTGGTGTTACATTTTTACAGGACAGGGCTGGTTCATTATTTTCACTTTCGTACCTATTTGACGAGTCATGTCACATTCATGTAGGCCTGATTACATAATTGCAGGCTATAGTTTCATGAAGAATATTCATGCAAAACGTTGGAAAAGATTAGCTAACAATTGTGTAGAACATTGAACAACGGCTGTCACACACCTTGTATTTCATGTTGAATTTTGTGCTCTGCTCTGTATCACAACATGGACTGACACAGACCATACTGCCTGTAGAGCTTTAACTTATCACTTCTGGAAAATTGCCAAATTACTGGTCATAAGAATGACTGCATTTTCATGACCCACATGGCTCTGTTCTTCAGTCCAGGGCTCGAAATCCTTTTTCTGCATACCTGCACTGGTGCAGGTAACATTGAAAATTACCTACACCAGATAAGTTTTACCTACACCATTCAGACTTTCAGAAGTATGGCTTCTATCAAAAAATGTTTAGAAACCATTACCATTGTTTCTTTTATACTTCATATGTGGTAACAGCAGGGAATGCAGCAAATAAAAATCCACATTCACCTACATTTGTGTATAAGCATGGTACATGGACCAGTGCAGATTAGGTGTGGGCAAGGAGGTCTCTTTTAAACCTCCTTGGTGTGGGTAGACATCAGAAACACCTGCACAACCCCAATTTTACCTGCATCAATTTAAGGTGCATGTACACCAGTATTTTGAGCCCTGTCTGTCTGATACAGTGGTGGCTTTCCCGTCTCATTAACTATGGCCACTCTAAGGAAAACCACCTGCCCTTCTGCTAAGTGCTTCCCTTGAAATTTGAATCCCACTGAATCTTCCAAACCACCTGAGCTCTTCCCTCTTAGCTATTACAGACTGCAAACAGCCCTGGTGTACATGTGTACAGTGTAACGAAATGCCTGTAGATGTAGAGAAAGTTCTGTAGGGAAAGTTTCTTTTACCAAAACTTATCTTTCCACCCAACATCATCACAGTAAGATACTGGTAGTTATTTATAATACATTCTGGCAGTATGAAAATATCAGTCTGAAACTGAAAGTTGAATATGAATACTCAGTACAAGCTGCCAGGTCGCCCAAAATCTAATCATTTCGAGGTGTCATCAAGACCTATCCACCTACAAACTGTTAGGAAACCCTAGTGGAAAGAAGTATAGATACAATGTACTAGTACCCACAATGGGACAAAGGCACATACAGAATGGGACATGTAAATCCTTCCCTGTCCTGTTATCTGTGAGACTGTAGACTGATTGATGTGACCCATCTTGTCCCATACCTAATGTCTGGCTGGGGACCACCATTACCTCTCATCATGTCTGCATCAGCTGCTGATTTGGTGTTATATATTCATTATACAGTACTTCCACTGGTATAGTAAGGTAGTTTTTGGAGGTACGTTTTGTACTCTGGAGAATGTTGTGAAGGAAATGTCACACTAGAGAGAATATGTGACCAAGAAAAACGTAATGTGAATCTCTTTAGGATAGCAGTCATATCAGCATCTGTGACAGTATTTCCTGGCTTATGAGTTCATGATTAATATTTCAAAGCACATGGTGCCGGGGATAGTAGTGACCTGTTAATGAGGTATACATGAATGTTCTTTTGCATATGCTCAACAATTGAGTGATGAATAATTCAAATAATTACATATTATGATAATGAAAATGGTACTGATATAAATCTATTTCACATGCGAATAATTCAATCAGGCAGGACTTAATAGGCCAAAAAAAACGTTAGCCACGAAATCCTTCTAAGTCATAGCAGCTGCCAAAGATATGATAGATCCCTTGCTATGTGGTAGTCTTTGGGATTGTGGATTTAGTTTGTGGATTTTGATTCTTTGTCATAATCTCATTTGTGACTGGTGGTTTGTGACCCATCCTTCTTTCATGTTGTCTGTTCTATATACATCAACAGTGAACATAGATCAAACACATTTGTAGAACAGAAACAGAAAGAAATCATTTATGGGTTTGTTGGTTAAAAAGATTTAAGTCATATCATGCCCCCATTGAATATAATGCTTCTACAGTTTCCCCCTCCTGTTACATATAATGATGGAATGCTCCACTTGGAAGAAAAGCTCCTGCGAGAGCAGGGATTTTGTTGTTAGGGAGCAGTTAAGTCAGTCCTATAAATGGTCCATCCTTCCTCAGGTCCTGATGGAGGCTCGGGTGGAACAAGCTTCCTTCCAGGAGCTTCCGCTACGCAGAAGACATTCATATAGATTATCCTCGTACTGTGAATAAATTTTCGAATGTTGATGATAGGTACAATACATATATATTGATAATTATAGTGTTCTCCAACTCAAAAAGGAAATTGACTCACCGGAATTTTCGACCGAATCTCTGATCTTCATCAGCTATATCTGACCCAAGCGCTATAGAAAAAATTCTGGTGACTCAATTTCCTTTTGAGTTGGAGAACAGTTTAATTTTCATTGTGCAATTTACCTACTCAGAATGAACTTTCATGCTAAAATACATCAGCCTCATTTCTATATAATGCCACAAGGCTGAAATAAACTGAAACTTTGTTCCACTTTGTGCTTGTACAATTTGGACAACATCACAATAGACAGAAGACAGTTCACAGACACTGCTGCTTTCATCCTTGTTAACATTTCTAACATTCCTCTTTCAGGCGTCCCAAGTAATTATAAGGGATTTGTCTGTTTATATAGAGGTCTGTGCCCAGTCAGCTGCATACATTCCTTATTGCGACACCCTTTACAAAAATATTGGAAAGTTTTTGTTGCCATGTATTAAATGTCCCAAGTACTAGTTTGAGACTTTTTTTGACACACCGTGCCACTTTAGCAAAGGTGACATCTGATTGTGCATTGTATTTTAAAAATGAAACAATTTGGTCCAGTAAGGTATTAAATCTTAAGTGGGATTTCCATATTTGGTTACAGACAGATACTCAGGGAAATAAAACATCCAGATGCAAGAAGTTACAAAACCACAAATATTTAGCATCGATGGTACGTATGCTGTACTGCCCATACTAGGAATACCTCACGATAAGTACTTTACTAACAAAACAGACAAATTTCTAGAGACTAGTAGAAAGGAAGTAAATGCTTTCATAATGATAGATGTCAGGTGATGATTTTTATGATAGTGGTACATTTTGTATTCTCTTTCTTGATTAGCTTTTCTTCACATATATTAATGGTTAATTGTACATACAGGCAAACATTACAAAAAAATACAACAAAATTTGTCAAAACATAGCTAGCTCATATAAATAATCAAACATAAATCATGTTTGCTATTCTAAGTGACCACTGGATGCTGGTACAAAGTAGTTGTGCATTTCGTTTCCGTGTGTTACCCGGTAACTCAGTATGCTTTTGATATGCAAGGTGCATGATCTAAGGGCAAAACAATCATCACAGATTCCAACGTTCAATCAGTCATTGTTTATCTGATTAAGCTTATGTTGTATGTTTAGCTTGATGCATAACAAGTGCATGTAACAGTTTTTATCCTTCCTATCCTTTGTTTCATTGAAACAAACTCAACTGACGTTTTAATTGTGGAGCACAAAAGAAAATGAGAAAGATTTAGACTAAGATTAAGAGTAGAAATTCTGGGCTTTAGGCCACACCAATTTAATTTGTTGGTTCTCGGATTCGCCTCTTCATTTTTTCTGATTTGCAAAAAAAAAAAAAATTAGATTCTGGTCCTGAATCAACTGAAAAATGCTCATGTTTTGCCCCCCAACAGTTGAGGAAAGTCCTTTTCTTCCTAGTTGTTAGTTTTCCCATCTATCATTGCAGTGGTTTGATTAAAAGTTCAAAATTCAATGTTTAAATTTTAACCCAGCCTTTTGTGTTGACTTCATGGCTCATTTTGTAGCATTTAAACTTATAATAGGATGCCTAGATCTGTTTTTATTTTTATTTTTTTTCGCCCTGTCGCTTCATATTTTTTCTGAAAAAATCCGAGAACCAACAAATTAAATTGGTGTGGCCTTATGTCAATTTGCGAGTAGTACATACGTAAACATTGCCATACAAACATCAGCTTCAAGGTCAATTTGCATATGATGTATATACCCAAGGTCAATTTAAAGGTGCTTCTTAATCTGCTTATACCCAATCTGTGTATAAGTACAATATACATTTGTACTAGATTGTTATTCTAAGCTAGAGAATAGCTAGCTAGGTACTATCCCACACTCTGTCCTAGTCACAATCACCCATATTTTATAGTCACAGGGTCAGGGTCATATGGTGAGTAATGGGACAAATTGCACAATTTTCTCAGCTTGTCTGCCCAGCCTGAATGAAGGTGTTGGCACACAGGATGTGTTAGTATCAGGGATGCTCAGTCAAGTAGAACTGCCCACCCCCTCACTCCTACATCCTAAATGGTCAGGCTACTGGAATTAGCTTACAACTCAGATGGGGTACACAGTGAGTGAAAGATGTAACCTGTTATTCATCGTTGGAAATGGCTATTACATGTATCTGTTAATAATCGAAAATTTTGGAC